CATTAAAAATCTTATTAACCGAACGAATTGCCATGAATACATACAATTTTTTCGTACATTTTCGGTCGCTTATTAAGATAAACATATGATTATACCAAAGTTGCAACGAAATCAATTAAATATTATAGAAAATACACTACATGCCACTGTTAAATATTCGAAGATATTGAAATATTTTTCTGAATTTTTAAAACTTTAAATATTTTTATTATTGCTTAGTAAATATATTTAACTAAAACTTCGAGAAGAAAATAGATTTTGTTCAAATTATATTATGTAAATTATAAGTGTTTTTTTTTTCAATTTTAAATCAATATCTATTTTTTTTTATTTAAAAAATTATATTAAATTCAGATACATTTAATAAATACAATTATTTTAAACTAATATTTTAATACATTATTCTGTCAATATAAATATGATGAAAAATTTTAATAATTTTGTTATTTTTATATTTAACGTATAGGATTATAAATATATTTAAAATTTTTATTTTAAAACAGTGACATCTTAATGTTGGTTTTGATATTTACATTTAAATAAAATTAAAATAACAAAATTCAACTTTGAAATATATTATTTAGACTTTATTTATACCATATAATAAAGGAGAAAAAGTAATAAAAATAATTTATTTGCAAATAATTCATTATATGATACTGTAAGTACCGAGGTATAATTACATATTGTCAATGATAAAATATACTTTTATAATTATTTTGTCATAATGTTTGATCAATATAATATAATTTAATTTCAAAAGTATATGAAACAATCGATATATTTACATTTATCCGTATATTATACCTACGTACCCATTAAACCTGTTCTAAGAGTCATTTTTTATTAAAAGTATTCTTTACGCAAACATGTAAACGTTTATATCCTTCGGATAGTAAAAAAAAAAGTATTAAATTCAATAAAAGTTCATTATGATATTAAATTTAAAACGAATCTACTTTCTATTATAAATAATATTATAAATTATAAAATTATAAATTATACAGTAGTTAATATCTTTTTATATAATATAATTTATTAATAAATATATAAATAAATATCGAATAATCTGTTAGAATTTTTAAATTATGATTGCTGCTTTTAATTTTAAATTGTACAGTAATTTTTGTATTGTGATGGAAATATTGAATAAATTAAAAAAGGAAATAGTATAAAAATCAATACGTATTATTATTAGAAAATATTTTCTTTAATATTTTCATTAAACTACAAAAAATTATTTTTCCCAATTTCTTAAATTTAACGCTCATAACAGTAATAAAATAAAAAAATTTTTCCAAATTTGAAGATTTTACAATATTCAATAATACTGAAAAATTTATTATATTTCCAAAATGTATTGATGTAGAACAGATTCCACTTTTATTAAATGATTCCCTGCTGAATGATGTTAAATTGTCATTTGTTATTTGAAATATATGACAAAATATTTTTCATATGATATATTATTTTTTTAAATGTGCTTTAATAAATTATTATACTTGTATCTAATATTTTATTGTTTATTATCTTTTACAAATATTATTCTTATAAAATAAGGTATTTTTTATCTAAAAGTTATAATGTTATATTCAATCGACATTCATTTATAAATTAATTATACATATTAAATAATAGTTATTATTTATAGTGTAAATAACATTCAAAAAGATCGCTTCTGCATTTACTCAGTATAAATGAAATATATTTAACATGATTAAAATAAAACAAGAAACTTGCCGATATTTTGACAATATATTCACACGTATTTATATGATTCCATATCTTTAAAATTTAATCGATATTTTAAACAAGAAAATAAAAAATATTTATATTAAATTTAGAAAAAAAGTTTGTAAATATTTTTCACTATATAAATTTATTTAGAATTATTTTTTAATAATGGTATAATGCTTTCTTGCATATATAAATATATATAATATCACACACACACACACACACACACACATATATATATATATATATATTTTGTAGTTTAGCTTATTGCATATTTCATCAATTTTAATCAAGTTTAAATATAATCACTACTCGTGTTATTATACGAAATCAACTTTCATAATTCCTAATTTAATTTTAATTTTTTCTATTTCTTTATATTATAAGATAAATTAAATAGAAACTTGTGGTGCAGATTATGTGCCTGCATTATAAAATTGTAATCTACATAATAATTTATTGAATGTAAAATAAATTCTCATAAATTATTGTACAACGCTTCATTAACCCCTAACGACTCAAAAATCACGATGACAGAAAAACTGTTGATTTTCCAAATATTTAAAATTTAATACAGTGTCGAAGATTATCTTCGATGGATGAAAATTCATATTTATTATAATTCTGACCACAAAATTGACACTTAGATAGCGCATTGCTTTACTAGAATAAAATTGAGTACGGTTTGGCTTAGGTAATTATACCACCACACGTAGACCGAAGAAATACAATTAAATTTGCAAATGCTATTATGACTTTTCATGAGTTTGCTGTCCTAATTATTCTATTTTTCACGATCTCTAATATGAAAAAGATACATATAAAGCATATGAAGAGTTTTAAGGTAATATAACAAATTACTAAATATATAAATAATTATTTCAATGTTCAATATACATGAAATCTAGTAATTTTCTGTTTAATAATAAAATTTCTTTATTGTTATTTATAATAAGATATTTTATATTTTATAAAAAATTAACAAATTATTTCAACACGATATGACAAAAAAATAATGTTTATACAATTGCTATACGATATATAGAACTGATGTTTATATGAGATTTATTTATGCGAATTTATATATGCGAATGAGCATAATTTCATAATCAATTAATGCATATAATAATCAAAATACAATTTAATAACATACAATATTAATCATATTTAATGAATCTATATAAATCACATATTAGTTATATATTAGATTAATAAAATTTATAATTACATTAAAAAAAAAAAATAAATTACGTTTTACCATATTATTGAGAATTTATTATCTAGTCTTGTGGGAGTTTTTAATAAATATAAAATATGTTTTTTAAAATATATATGATCAAATACATACAACGATATCCTTTTTTAAAAGGTATTATTAATTCTTATATATTAAAGAAATTATTATTAGTCTAATAGTAAACCTATTATCAAGTTGTGAAATATTTGATATGATTATGATACTTTGATTTTTCAGGTATGATTTGTCATAAGGATTTGTTGCATTAATATTGAACATATTTTATGAAATAAATAAATGAAAAAATACATATATATATATATGTCTACATAAATACCAATAAAAATACTTTCGAGAAAGAGTAATAAATTTTGATATAATTTATTGTAATCGTAGGGTTTATAAATTTATAATTAAATTATAAATTGTAAGACATGAGCTATTATTCTAGATAAATATATTGTAATAGTATTTCTCTTACATTTTATAAATAATCAAAATTGAATAAATCTGATAATAATAATATTAATTAAGTAAAACATATAAGAAGGATTGACATAATTAAAATAAATTAATGGTTCATTGAAAATAACTGTTTCTGCTTCGTAAGTAAGTAAATAAGAATACCAAACTAGATTATTTGAATGAAAAAATCGTTTTTACTAAACTATTATTTACGATTCCTATGTAACAAAAGATATCATTCACATTGCAATAATTTGCAATGTTTGTAGTGGCACTCCATTGAAAGAATCGTTACTCTTATGTAATCACATATGTTCTGAATTATTTTGTGATTAAGAATATTATTTTAATAGATGGTGTATTATATATATATTTTTTTTTTTATTATATATATATATATATATATATATATATATATATATATATATATATATGGGTTCTATGTACATACCGTATCTCGGTTCTATTCACTTTTGAAATACTTTAAGTAAAATTCATTAAAATAACCAAAATGTCCTACCTTATTTTATAATTATAATTGGGTCATTTATTCAAAGAAAATATCTCACCACGCAAGCACAGTTTGCAAATAACATCGTTGAAAAAATATCTGACGCATCATACGATATAAATATCAATATTATAGATCTTGTCCGTAAAATTTAATCGTTCTTATTGAGAATTTGTTTCGTTAGGGAATGGGGGGAGGCTAGTGGCAAGTGATGAGCTTGAATATTTTCATGACACAAACGTATGGTATACTAAGTGTATTGCGCGAGTATCGCAAACATCTTGCAAAAGATGAAAAGAGCTCGAGGAATAATATTGTCGCCGTGTAAAAACCTTTTCCAATGTTGTTCGTCGAACTGGGCGAATCCCGCGTCTCTCTCGCGACCACGATAAAACGCTATTTTCGTAGCGTAAACGTGCGAAGGTCGTGTGATGCTCGCTATGAAAAAGCCGAAAGCGCATTTCCGCCGTCGGCTGCAATATCCAAGGACGAAATCATAGGAAGAACTTGGCGCTGTTGGCTCAGCTGGTTTCCTCGAAAAAAAAAACCGGGAGAAAAAGGGATAAAAACGGAGCGCGCGAGGAACTGTACTTTCTAAAGGAAAGCTCGGGCCGATGCTTGGATGCTTGGAGGACTCGTAAAAAGGCAGGCTCGCGAAATAACAGCAGCTCGCTCTTATCGCGACGAGCACAGGATCAGGGCCAGGGTCTCGGAGCACGCGCCAAGCGCATCGTAAACGAGGCCTCGCCTCTCGAGGCCCGAGTGAAGGAGTCGACGGCAACGTCGCGAAGTCGTTGATTCACTGCAAGCTGGAGGGAGACACTTGTACATGAAGCGAGAGCGTGCGAGTGAGAGAGAGAGAGAGAGAGAGAGATATATATATATATAGAGAGAGAGAGAGAGCGCGAGTGAGCGAGTGTGTGTGCGCGGGAACGAGCGAGCGCGCTAACGGCAGCGAGAGGAAGGAGGCAAGAACGCGGAGGCAGGAGGGAGGGGTTGGTTGCGCACACCTTTTCTCGCAGCCTCGCATCAATGTCCTCCTGGCAAGACGATCGTCGACCGCTCTGCTGACCGAGTCGCCGCTCTCCTCATCTCGCACGCATTTAAATCGCCCGTTGCGCCTTCGTCCTTTTCTCGCTACTCGAGCGACAAGAGCTTGCGCGCTTTTACGAGGCGCCGTCACGCGCGTCGCGTCCGAATGCAAATAGACGAGGATGCGCTTGTCGTCCGACGGGAGGCTCGAGCGCTGGCGGAATGCCAGGTCGAGCCGATAAACTGCCGAATAGCGGCGCACGGATGATTGTCCGACCGCTGCGCCTTGGAAGTGTTTGAAATATCTGACAGTTCTGGCCGCCGCATTCCAAGTTCAAGGTAAGTAACGCCGATACACCTTTGCCTACCCATTGGCAGGCTGCATTAGAAATATGTGTGCAAAAGCGTGTGAGAGCTTTTCACGTTATCTCTCGGACATTTTCCAGCGATTTCTTATGAGAATTACATACGAAGATAATGTCTTAATACTGTCCTAATGAGGCGCTGAAGCTCGTATTTTAAATTCAGAGAATCGAAAATTTAGCAATCAGTAGTGCACGAATTAAAAGATATAATAGATTAAAAATTATACTTAATACGTTACTAATGGAATCTGACAATGAGCGTAATAAGCATTACTAGCGTGATATGTAAAATATTGTTTTTTTTTTTTTTTTTTTAATATCACAAGTTCATTTCTTTCTGAACTTTATACATATTACAACAACACAAATAGCTATTAAAAACGGTTCTAAAATACCCGTAATTCTAAATACGTAATTACCGAATAAAATAAAAAAATTTTCTTTCCAATATTATATGCTTTATTTAATATATTTATTAGGAAAAATTCCAAATACAGAGAATGACATGAAAAGCATGCACGTTTAATATTTTTATATGTAAAATTTAATATAAGTAATTGTTGCTCCGTCAAGGGATTACAGGTAGCCCTGTAGATTATTTATATTATATGATAAGCATAATCGAATGCTTAATTTGTCATGAAAATTCCGTATCAGAGGATATTCAATTTTACAATATCAAAAATTATCCCATTAGACGAAAAATTTCAATAATTTAAATATTAATATCTAATTAATATGTTAAATATTAATAATTATCACTAATTGATAATTTAACAACTGTTATAATTCACTTCAATGAGCCGATCAATTATTCATTATTATTTGCTTAAAATACGTAAAATGTTGAAAAGCTATAAATATTTACAATAATATATTGAAATTTTTAGCATAACAATAGCTGGAACAATAAAAAAATTTTAATTCTTCAATATTGTTTCTTTCATATTATAAATATATATATACTCTTTTAAACTGTATGAATTCACAAGTAAAATTTTAATATAATGACGTTTATATAAGACATCGTAAAGCCAAGTTTAGTTTTTCATATTTTTTTTCTCATATTGAAAAAATGTTTTATGTTTTAAATCTAAAAATAATAAAATTGGAAAATTGACAAAAACATAAAGTTTAACATGATATTTCGTACAACTCTTGATATTTTGAACGATAATATCTATTTTATTAAATTACTCATAATATTAAAAAATTCTCATACAAATTTTATATTTTCTAGCAATTTAATTAAATTACATAATTAAGTATTCCCAACATGATATTGCGACAAATTAATTGAAATTTCAATAGTATATTAGAATAGTCTTGTTTATGACAACGGTGGTAGCTCGCATATTGAATTCTAAAATTTCAACATAAAATGCTTCTTTTATTTACCATGTGTATACATATATATATATATATATATATATATATATATATTTAGAAATTTATACAAAAATTATAAATATTTTACATCCACCATCACATCCATGCATATACATATTGTCTTCTGTCACGTTTCTTGCTTATGCAAATTATAAATATTTTGACTTATGATTTTTATTTGCTAATTTCTTTGCACTAGGCGATCACAAACTTTGTATGTATCATGTGCAGTTAAACGAATCGTTACCGTATGTTCGGATAAATATAAGTTTATGCATTTTTTATGTATCCATACGTTTAAGGTTGAAGTAACCTGAAATGATACAACGTCACATATAATATATCTTTTTAAAAAACATTATAGCTTTTAAAATATTTAAATAATATTCATAACTAAGAATTGATTATCATAGAATACTCATATATATATATATATATATATATATATATATATAAGCGTGTGCGCGTGTGTGTGCCTGTATACTTAATTAAGAAAATAAACCGATTTAGGCCTACGTACGAAGATATTCATTTTATTAAATTAGTTTACGAATGCCAATGCATACATTGATTTAATAGTCACATTATACGAATTATACTTTATAATTAGTATTTTCTAAATATAATTAGGTCAGGCAATAATATACGTATGACTATTAAATACTGAATGTGTCAATATATAAATGTACATGTAGTGAATTTTTTAATACATTTTTAATTATCATTTTACTACAAAATTTTAGTTTCATGCTAAAAATTTGGTTATAATAATAAGTATAAATTAATACATAATTATTATCTCCTTAATAATATTGTATATTCATGTATCTATTATATTAGAATATACGCTTTCAAATTAAAAATTTCAAAAATTGCTTATTAATTTAAACAAATATAATAACTATAGGTGCATCTGTTTATAATACATATATAATATGACTAAATGATTACCGACAAATTATATTTATCAATAGTTATTAGAAGTATTTTCTATTGAAAGTAATGCAACTTTATTAACTTTAAATGCACTGTTTATATGATAATACGGTATAATATAGAATATTTATTAGAATGTCAAATTTTTTGTTTCAAACTAAGAAAACTGTATATTAAATATTTATATTTAGGAGTATGATTTGAAAATATCATGATATTTAATACATAATTAGTCGTATGTAATCATCTCTAAATGTACATGATTTTGTTTAATACTTGTACTGATATATAAATTAAGAAAGATTTTTTTGCTGATCATAAAATTCAATGTATTATTTCAAAAATACCTGGCATTTTATTATTAAACGAAGTAAATAATACGAGGCAAAACGATGTTATTCTACAAATGTCGACAAGTAACTGTCGACCCACTTCTTTAAGTCAAGTCCAGTGTGTTTTTAGAAGACGGATGTTCTTAATGGGATGTCTCTATCCAAACTTTGGTGACCCTCATTAATTAAAATTCGCGGTTTATGATTTCTCGAATGGTTGAGCATATACAATGACAAAATAATAAAATAAAATATAAAATACTGTCACGGAAGAAGTATAATATAGTAACACTCATTAGGTAAAGAAAAAAAAAAGAAAAAAAAAACCCTGTTACTACTTTACTATTTTTATAATAAGCAAGATTGTTAGAAGTATGTTTTTAAATTTTGACAATTCGTAAAAATATTTCATTATTCATAAGTGAGTTTAAAATTAAAATAATACTACTATCAAATATCTTGATCTTATTTATAATTATAATATTAAGTATATAATGAAATATATAATAATGTGAATATATTTTGTGTATTTATGAAGTTATAAGTGAAAAACTTTTACAAATTTCAAATTATTGGGCAAGGCGTATTAATGTTAGGGCATAAAATAATTTTTCTTTTTTTTTTTTTTTTACCATTTCTACTGATTTAGAAGAATTATTTTATTTACTAGTTTGAAGAATAAAAACATTTTAATGCATGTTTTTTTCTATAATCCAAGAAAATTGGTTGAACGATGAGGGCAAAAATAATGGATAAGAAAAGAAATAGAGTAGTAAATCTTTTTTCTCCATGAAATTCACAATTATTTGACTTTAATTTTAATATAAATCATTGATTATTAATTTTATCGAAAATTCAATTGTCCAAGATATTGGATCTTTTGAATTATCTTCCAATTTTTGGCAAATATAATGAAAATTAACAATGGAATTGTAAATTGTACATTGTGCCGAATCCAAGCAATTCCTTTTGCACGTTCTTTCTAACGTTACTTCTCAATTCAATAATATGAGATTATTTTCCTTCGCGAATCCATATTAAATCAATTAATAGTTAACAAGTTGTAATATTAATTTTTAGAAGCTTGTCGTATTGAAGGCATTTGGTTAAAGTAACACGTTGAAAATAGAGTTTCCGATACGAATAACAAACACGTAGCCCATCTCCTATTTAAATATTTTCTAATAATGAATAATTGATAGAATGCAGATTTAAATGTGTCGTAAATTAATTTCTATTCTTGCAGATTTCCTTCAAACAAATTAGCCTCAATGACCATATTGAACGGCATTCAAGGATGAAAGGATGGATTCGTGCGGTTATCGCGATCTGCGTCCTCCTATGGTTCACGGGTGTCTCTGCTCAGAAAGTCTGGAACGCCATTGGAAATGGCGGTGATACAGAGGCAGCCGATAAATCGATTCTCGATGAATCGTTTTACTCTTGGTCTGGACCTAATGCATTGGCTAGATCAACACTACTCGAACGCCAAGAGCAGCTCCAGTATAAATGTGATCAAATGACGAAGGATAAGATACTGGAAAAGATCCAAGATCCCGAAGCATTCCGTAATCTTCTAGTCGATGAGAAGCATAAATTACTTTATTGTTACGTACCAAAGGTATTTGGTTGCGAAATGTTGCTTTAAATGTCTCGCGAGCTTGTACTATTAATCCAATCTATTATTCTTCATTGGATAAAATTGCAGATTTTCAGATTAGGAACTTTAAGGGTTTATGAAGTTCAGATGCAATTCAGCGATAAATTACATTCATTCGATAATACGCAGTTCATTATTGTTAAATAAATAATCAACGAGAAAATTATTTCAAAATAATTTTAGTAAATTACATTATTCCTTGATTATTTATACATTTATTGATAGTATCGTATTGAAAATTATTATAATTCACGCCAAATCATTTGTTTAATGAAAAAACCTAATCGCTATTAATTGTTATTTATTCATAGTAATATATAAAAATAAGATTACATTAACATTTGATGCGTTATTATTAAAGAGTTGCGACGCACTTATTCCCCATCGAGAAACGTAATGTCCGTAAATAAATAGATCACACATATTTAACACATATTTTAAAGAACTTAAAATTAATAAGCAAATATAACTTAGCCTCACCTCAAATCATAAATATTTATATTTCATTCACTATGTTAACAAATACATTGATTGTTAAATATATTGGGCAAACAAAATGTTTAAGAAATAAACTCTACAACGGGTACGTTCAATAATATAATAATAGCTTGTGAATGAAAATATGTTGGCCATGCAAATAACATTATTTTACTCTCCTAAATTCCAATCTAATATCGTCAAAAAGTAATATTTAACTTTTCAAATTAACTTTCTCTCGTTTTATGCAATACTATGACTAATTTATTAAACCGGCCCTGTTACAGGTGGCCTGCACAAACTGGAAGCGTGTATTAATGGTCGCAACAGGCATATGGAAAGGAAGTTCACCATTGGATATTCCAGCAGATTTGGCTCATTCCTCGGGAACTTTCAAACGCCTAAGCAACTACACAATGCCGGAGATAGAAAAAAAACTGATAGCATACAATAAACTCATAGTTGTTAGACATCCACTAGAACGACTCGTTTCCGCTTACAGGAATAAATTTGAAGCTAAAAATGAAAAGAGCTCCATGTACTTTCAGTCGCGTTTCGGCAGAAAAATAATTAAGGTTTCGTCTTATATTTATTATTTTCATATAATATATTCTTTTATTCGCAAGAATAATAATTGAAGTAATTGCCTTACTCGAATGAAAGTTAATTTTCTAATTGATGATTTGTTACTTTATTTGGAAATTTCGTTGGATGAAATGCTTATTGCGCCAATAAAAGATCAAAAATTCGAATTTCATTTTAAATGAAATGAAATCGATTAACATTAAATTGATAATTTATAAAAAAAAAAAAAATAAATAAAAAATAAAATGGTAATGCAGGAAATAGATGGGCGACTACATTCAATTATTATTGCCATATTTATGATTTATAATGCAATATTAATATTATTAATTTTACAATTACTTATAGAAATATAGAAACAATGCCACTGAAGAATCATTACTAAAAGGAGACGATGTTACATTTGGAGAATTTATTGATTTCATAACGGATAATAATGAAAATTTTATACGAAATGAACATTGGAAATCTATTTCGGAATTGTGCCATCCTTGTCTTGTAAATTATAATCTTGTTAGTAAATACGAAACTTTAATGGAAGATGCAACGGAAATTTTGGAACGAATTAACGCAAGTTCAATATTGTAAGTAAAAAATGTAATATTTGTTGTTTACTAATAATATTGCAATCGGACGAAATTTCGTAGTAAAATAATCGTAGCTATTGATTTTTCGATTGCTATTATTTATCTAAGAAATATCTCATGTTTAAACATGTTAATTATATGAAAAGAAAAATTTATTGTACTTTTTACTATAATTAAGACTTATATGTTAAGTGTGAAATTGGTAAATAAATACTAATTAACTAACGATAAGTATTAATATTGTAAAATATATTTTTTAAGTAAATATCTCATAAATAATATGAAGAAAATACTATACATTACATGATTTTATTGACAGATTTCCGATACGACCACAGAATAGTGAACCAACGGCAAAAATATTGGACAAGTATTATTCAACATTAAGTTTGAACCAATTACGTAATTTATCTAAGTTTTATCGGTTAGATTTTTATTTATTTGATTATTCTTTAGAAGATGTTCTCGGCTTTTCAATAGCTTAAAGCAAATATGCAGTCAACTTTGCTTAAGAATATATTTATATGTGCTTGCGCGTGTGCGTGTGTGCGTGCGCGCGCGTATACTTATTTCATACATCATTTATTGATTATATGAAAGTCAAAATTAAATTTCAAATGTAATTCCTTCTTTCTTTTTTTTTTTTAATTACAAAAAATAACGATATATGCATAAGCTCACATTACTATCTGTTTACAGATTAAAACTAGTCATAATGTATTTAACTGAATAGTCTATTGCAGATTTTATTACTTAAATGAATATACCGAAAGGAAATATTACTGTTTTATGTGAAAGACAATTCATTAGAATTAAATATTACGGAAAGGTCAATGACTTAATATACTACTTCATAATTTAGATATAAAATTGTATAATATTTATGATCATTGTACAAAATTTTAATAAATAATTGAATAATTGCCTATTGTATGTTAATTTATTAAATTTACAACAATCGTGCAGTTTTTAAGCAATTTTGAGATTATTTCCTTCTTTTTTTTTTTCTTATTAAATTACTAATACAAATTCAAACAATTCATAAGTAATGAATAAATAATAATTTTATATTTAATTTTTATCAATTTGATATTTAAATTAATAACTTCATTTTTAAATTAGGATTTGTATTAAAAATTATTTATTCATTTCTGTGTAGCTAATGATTTTATATGATTAGCTCAATTAATTTTATTATGATTATTTAATTCTATATGCATTATTTATATAAGATAAGAATCATATAGAACTATATAATTCAGAATAAATTTTCATTATTTTTATTTATATATATATATATTCATTTTATTCATTTTATTCTTTCATTCATTTTCAGCATTCATTTTATTTTGGAATGAGATTTTCTCAATGTTACTACAAATTAATATGGGAAATGAATTTTAAGCATTAAAGTTTGTTATTGGCAAGTTTGTAGGTTTTTTAATCAACAATTTCTACCGTCATTATGTAATTACACATCTGATTTGACGATTAGGTTAAAGATTATTAGTGTATTTTTTATTATTTCTACATATTTTATCACTATACTATATAATTTCCAAGTATGTTAAAAGTATCAAAAGATTAGTAATATAAAAGATTAGTAATAAGAGATAATGTTTAATATTTTAACATCCAAAGAATTTTGTTTAATACAGTTAAAATTAACAAAATTTTATTGTTTAAAAAAAAAAAAACATAAAATAATTGAGTACGAATTAAATCCAGGTATGAAATTAGTAAAGTAGCCGTATTCAGTAGAAGTGAAGTAACAGGATATTCATACTTAAAATCCAAGATCTGTATCTTCGCTTCCTCAATTTTGAATTTGAGATTCTCGAAAACTTTCCCACAAATCGCTATTGTATTCCTAAGTGTGATTAGGACGTACGTACAGCATTACGCCCGACAGAATTTATAACTTACTTGAATTACTTTATAGTTTGTAAAATGAAAACGTGCGCATAAATGTGTGAAAATTTATTTTATACATCCAGTCAAAACAATCACTTTAGTCATTAAGCGATAAAATCTTTATGTTAATATATTACAAATACTTTGAGACTTTTATTCAGTTAGTATAATTTACAATTTATTAGATAAATGTATTATTGCTTCATTATGAATGAAAATAAGTATAATAAAGAATCTCTAATTGATTAATGAATTTTATTTATTTTTTATTCAATTTTAAACTAATATTTACATAATTATCGATACTAACATTCCGAAATTCTGCCTCATATAAGTGCCATTAATTTTCGAATAAAATGCGGTAAAAAGTAATTGATAGTGTTTTTATGTTTGGACAACAAAAATTAGTACATGCAATGAATATTTTATATTTAATTTTAAGCAAGTATTGCAGAATTAGAATAAAATGTCGAATATTTATATGAGATCGTTTCACTAAAATTAGTTCGCAGTGGTTAAATAACGTCTAATGTAAATGGATTCTTAGCTTTTAGCAAGAGAAGAATACGGAGAAAACGTAATAACATTGAAAGAAAAAATTTTGCGTAATTTCAAAAATACTGCGATCTATTAAATATAAGAGAAATAACGGAGATAAATTCTTACGGAACTTGACTTGACTTACATATTGAAATGAATATAAAAATATTGAAATATTGAATATTCAATGGCGATATCATACTCCTGTTAGCCAATTTCAAGCGATATGATATGGTTTTAGAGGCACAGCTGCCACGAAAATTTAAATTATTCGCATGAAATTCCAATATTTCCAAGGAAGTACCGATGTACTAACGATCGCGAATTCGAACAAGGAATCCACGAGCGTGAAATTATTTGAAAAACCGAATGCAGCGACTGAGAACGATGGACGTTAATAGCACTAAGGTGAAGATAGCAAATGACGTGTGTATACGTATCTAACCATGAGCCAACCTAAATTTTCACTATTACGAGAATGACATGGAGTAAACCAGAGCGGAAGAGAGAGAGAGAGAGAGAGAGAGAGAGAGAGAGAGTAAATAACCGAGGCAGAACCGAAATAAAAGACGAGCACGTGCTCCTACGTCGGTCCATCATCCATCAATTTAGATGGTTATACAAACGTGCTTTCGATTTCAAAATGAACACCAGCTGTGGCAAGTACGTCGATTGAACTTATTTATTGTTCGAGTGCGGAAGCGCTAACGTCACGGCCGTTGAAAGACGCCTCCTAAGTTCGCGAATTGCAAATGTACGCCGTTGTGAAATTCTCTCCGAAGGTCGCACGACTTGAATTCACCGACTAAAATTCGCATTTAGTCGGAGTTTAGCAAATGGCGGGGGTGTAGCCCGTCATCGGCAATGGCGCCAGCTATTTTCCTTATATCCTATAACATGTTGGAATTCGTAATTATGCAACATATTTCCTGAGCCTTTCTTTGTTTGATCTTTCAAAATCTAAAAAAGAGGAGTGCACCGAATTCTAACAACCTCATCAGATTTATTTTGGAAATAAATAATGAATTTTTGTTTTATTCCTAGGAATGATTTTCTTATTCAGCGATTAGAATCTAATAATGGGTGCTTAAAGTGAGTATTTTATTATTATTAGAGACTGCATTAACAGTTCTATCAAAATATATCCAAGTTTTTTCTCTTATTTTTAAATTTTAATACAATTTCAAATCAATATTCAAGACAATCGACAAAGTGTAATTACAAATTATCGAACGTTTGTATATGTTAAATAAATTGCTCGTGTTTATAATTATATGTACAGCATTTCAAATTAACGAAACAGAGTTCATCAATAGGCTCCGTTAATATGATTATATTGTTTATATTGAATTATATAATACATGTTTCAATTCTAATTCAAAATCTTCATTAATCACAGTTGAATTACCTAGTTGAAAAATAAAGAATTTTTTTTTTTTTTAATTTTTTGCGCAGAATCAATTAGAATATATTTTTTAAATTCTTACTTCACAAAGTATTTACATAGTTTCTGTATGTATGAAATAAATAATTCTTTACGCTTTATTCATACATTGTAATTTTAATGCAAGTATTATTTAATTATTAAATTTCACGATATTTCTTTATTATATTTTAATTTCATATAATGGAAATTTTATTATACTAAAGCTACTTATTTTTTATATTAAACTAAGCACATAAGTAACTCCTCTCTACAAAAGAGAAATATTTTTAATAAAATAGCGTAGTTAGTAAAGAAAATTGATTGAAAATAGAATAAAATTAAGTCATTTTATAGTAAGAAATATAAATAACATAGATTATAATAATTTTATATTCAAATAATTATAATAGATTTTATAGATTTTCTTCAAAAAGGTAGTTTAATTTTTTTTATTTTTAATACACTATTTGATTCTACATAACATATATATTGCGCTAATTAAATACTTTTAGCAAACTTTTACATAAAATATGTATCTCATATATGCAAGTATATAAATTAATATGAATAAATATATCAATAGTTTTATTAAAAAAAAAATAATGAAAAAGAAAAAAATTCGTCTGTTAACATATACCTATATTAATTTATTAAATATAAATTTTATATTTTCTAAGTATTATTCTTGAATACAGCAATTATCAATCTTTTATGTATGTTATAAAAGTAAAAAATTGTTAATAGCATAATGATTAATAGCATAAATTGTTAATAGCATTTTGTTACAATGTGCTTTATTTTTCATATAGTGAGAAACTACTAAAAATATATCATATTACGAATATAAGGAATTAAAAAAAATTATATTTTCCTTGATTTATGTGGTATCAATATGTTGTTCTATATAGAAATGAAACATAAAATTCATTATAAATATATTATACGTACATGAATTATCATATTTTTCAGGAATTAAAAATTATAGTACGTAGAATTCATTATATATAGTATGTAGTAATAAGCAATACAAGTATATATGTGTATATGTATATAAAATTTTATAATTAATTTATATCACAATTAATATCACAATTTTTTTTTTTATAAAAAATTGAAAAACTTTCTGTAAATTATGTTTCTATAAATCATATAAATATATATTTAATACGATTATTATGAATATTTGATGATAAATTATTATTTAATAATATAATTAATCTATTTCATGGTACATTTGACTCTATGGATAGAATAATAATACTTCATTATAATACTTCATTCATTTAAAATTATAGTCTTCTATTGTGTTAACTCGGCGAAAATATATTCTACTGCACAATTAATATCAATAAATTATAAAATATATTTATATAATAAATAATATGGAAACACTAGGATTATATAAAGCTACTGGCATGTAAGACTGGATTTTTCATTATGTATCCCTTTACTTTAAAATACGAGACTGAAATGAAATTTGTAAATATTACAAACGTTTATAATTATAAGCCCAAAATCCATCAAAGGTTATGTTTTTATAAAATCTTGGAATTTTTTCATTAATTAATAACTTGTAGTTTAGTATTATTTATTTCCAAAAATACATTGAACCGAATAACTCAATCAATTAATCAGAAGTTTTTTTTTTTAAATTCATGTTTGACAAGCCATTAACCCAGCTTATTT